GTGAGAATGTTGTGACTGATCTCTTTAACAATGTCATTCCTGCCAGTGAAGTGTCGGTCTTTGTCCGGTAGAGATGACTGGCTTGAAGTTGATGATCTTGTTGAATCCTGTGTTGTAGTCAATGTTGTATTGGATGTTGTACCCGTTCTAGTTACATTGGCTGTTGTTTCAGCTGATGTTGGTTGTTTGAAGATTGGTTCACATCTGTTGGACATCCGTTGTTGGTCTGCCTGACAAGCTCCCACTGTGTGCTGCAATGGCTGTGTTTTCTGTTTGCCAACTGTTGTCATGGTGATACCTACAAAGGCAACAGAAAGTATGAATAAACCTGTTGTAAGTTTTGAAACTCTTTCAAAAGGGATGTATGATGTACTTCCTTTGTTAAGCGAAATGTTGTTGCATGTTTTTGCAGTTCCGTTAAAAGCATTTTATGGCTACAACACAGTTTGCAGAGGGGAGAACAGAGCAGCATACGAGAGATAGTACTTTATAGATGTCACACAGTTTGTTTCGAAGCGGTCCAACTTCTCTCTTCATTTGAATCCGATGACAACTCATTCCCTGCATTGAGTCTGCTTCCTTTCTGACTCCCGTCTTCAGCGCTGACACACTGACAGCTTTTGCTCCGTAACCTTTAAAAGATGCCGAGAAAATATTTGATCGTACTTTTTTGCTTGAACTGTGTGCTTGATGATTTGCACGGTGCCACTGTCGGCAGTGTTTCTCTCCGCCGCTCTCCAGAATGCCATGGAAGGCGCCATGGCAAAACAAGCAAACATTTAATGCTTTTCATTTTGGCAGCGGGGTTCTGCTGCCAGCATGTTTCTAAAGCCTGCAGAACTTCTGAGCTCCTTTCTGGTTTCCTTCGCCATCAGTGACACGTCTGTCTCCAGGCTGTAGAAGAATGCCAAGTCGTCCGCGTTGACATCGGGGTTTTGTCCCGGCTGAACAACAATCTGAATGTCAGGTCCCTTCGCTTTCCCTTGCGCTGCAAACGCACGTGCATTGAGTTTCATTGTGTGCGGACACGGACCATTGTGCTGGTACAGCAGTGGCTGGCCGGCTTCTGTCCAGTTCTAGGCACTTCTTCATGCCACGCGGTCTTCCAAACTAATACTTACTTCCATTTTCCCAGCCCCGAATGTTCCATATGGTTGACACGTGCCAGCACCACAGGTCGTGGGAGGGGGGGGGGGGGGGGGGTAGATCACCAACAAGGACGGTGCGAAGGAAAACGCATCGAAATCAAATAACCATTTGTACGTCTACGTTGTTGGGAGGCAGTTTGCACCGTGCACGAGTGGACGAGTGACCAACGAGGGAGCTGCGCTGTTGTCCGCAGTTTGTACCTGGGATTGTGTGACCTCAGAGGGAGCTGCTTGAATCCGACGACAAGGACGGTGCGAAGGAAAACGCATCGAAATCAAATAACCCACGGTACGGTCGTCCACAGTGGAGAAACCCTGCAGGGCGCTGTTCTCGACGACAAGAAGAAGGACATGGAGGGTGCGAAGGAAAACGCATCGTGAACAAATAACCCGCCGTGAGTGTGAAGGAGTTAAGAAGGTGCTCCCGCTTTGATTTATTGTACAAGTTTGTAGTTTTGATTTGCTCGATTTGTTTGATCTGTACTCGATGTGTTGGTGCCTGGCCTGGTAATACGTCGGGTGTATTGTTGGCTCTGTAGGTTTTCTTTGCGCCTGGCCTGGTGATGGGTCGGATGTTGACTGTAGTTTATTGCCTTGATTTGCTGGTGCCTGGTGACAGTTCGGAAGCTGCCTTCCGTTTGTATTTTCTGTTGGCCCATTGATCGTTCATTTGTTATTATTTATTTTGCCGTTTGTGAGTTTAGATTACCTATGCGTGCAGCATAGATTATAGTACAGTTTGTAGCCTCCTTGAGCCTTGAAAAGGCCTCTGCGGGGAGTATGTTGTGCAATGGGTCTAGAGTGAAAGACTTTTCATGGCTTACCGGAAAGTCGCGGATAAAAGCCGGGCTTATAAGCACATAAGCCGGTTTCTGCATCAGGCTTTAATGCAAACCAGGCTTGTATGCAAACCATGCTTATAAGCACAACTACTGATATTTTTTGCCAGGCTTGTATTCACGTTTACTATGCACTGTACATAGTGCATGCACTCTTGACCTACACGATCCGCGCTTGCACAGAAGCCAGGCTTCTACGCGCGACAGGCTTATATGCATTTGACCCGTTTGATTTTCAGGCTTCTATCCGCAATGTGCTTGTATGCAAACCCGGCTTTTATCCGCGACTTTATGGTATTTATGTTGTTCTTTAGTTTTATTGTGTAGTGGTTTAGTCTTGACTTTGTTGCATTGTTTTGGTTGCATGTGCAGTCTTCTGTACATGTATACACCATGGAACGCTCACGTCATCGTCGCGCGTGCAACATTATTTCGCGCGCGCGCGCATGCTCATATATGCTGCCGCAACATTTGTCCTATTCTTTAGTTATCAGTTTTGCGTCGTCGTGTCCGGTCTTCTTGTCTGTCCGTCTCCGTCTTGTCAAGAAATTATATAGCACTTTTAGTTCAGTTGCGCTGTTGTGTGTGGCGAGTCGGATGAGCGGGGAGGCTGGGCCCCTGACGCCTGGAGAAGATGTGCTGGTGCACGAAACCATGACAGTGCTTCACGCCGGTGGTACCTGTATTTCTTGTAGATCTACAGAATCGTCATGTAGATCTGGTTATATCCTCAGGACTGTCCATCTAAGGCCGTTATCATACTGCGTTTGTTTGAGTCGTGTTTGCGTCTGCGTTTGCGTTTGAGACTGGAAAACGCAAGACGTGATAGCATGCTATACTTGTGATTTTCAGCGTTTACGTCAAAATCTGTGCACGCGGGAAAATACAAAAATGTGGGGAATCGATCTCCAGGTGGCCGTGGATGTTGAATTAATTATTTTCCCGAGATCGAGAAGTGTTCTGTTTCTGCTCCTATGTCCTTTGTCAGTGGTGCTGGGGGGAATGGGAGTCGATGGGAAGACTGCAGCCGTTGCATTGCCTGTGTTGGGGTGGCAGTTCCGTTGTTGAGGCACATCGTCCAGCTAGGCTAGCCGTCGCCAACTAGTCAGCGCAACCTCAGCCACGAGCTTGCATCAGCTCCATGCCTTGCGAATCCAAAATCAATCAGTACAATGTCATGTAGTAGAAGTACCCTCGCCGGCCTCAATAACTAGATGGAAATGAAGATTTGAAAAGCACACTTGAGAATCACTTGAAAACACTCAAAAACAATGCAGGAAGTGCTGCGATAAAGAAAGTCCGATCTGCGTTTGCGGGATTCGGTTTTGACCAACCCCCTCCCCCCCCCCCCCCCCCGGTTTGCGTCTGCGTCTGCGGCTATGCGTCTGCGGCTGTGCGTCTGGGCTCTTATAACGTCACGTGATGGCATTTCCTAGGCGACCGCCAAAAACCGAAGAAAACGCAGACGCAAACGTGACTTTTGAACGCAGTGTGATAAGGGCCTAACTGAACCCACTGCATTCCCAGGGTCAGCTCTCAATACGATTGATGTGAATGCATAAACTAATAATTGATCTCTGTAAGCACTTCCCACTGCAAACAAGTAAGTACTGGCAGTGCTGCTCAATGAAATCCAGTCGCGTCACTCAAGTTTGTGCCTTGCACCATTTTGCAGCCCAATGTTTGCAGGTCTAGGGCTGCGCAACGCCCAGCGTGTACTTGAGTGATGCTGTGACTGGATTTCATTGAGCAGTGCTGTACAAGTACATGTACTGTCGTGGACATGGAAATCCGGTCGATTGACCGGGGCCGGCGTCCTCAGCGCGTACAGAATGCTGCGTGCAGGGCACATGATTGTTGATCCTTTGCGACTAGCGCACTGCAGCGCATAAAATGCATGTGTGTACAGCTTATCCACGGCTGCATGGCCAGCACCCTGGGGCCGCTAGACGTGCGACTGGATTTCCATGTCCACGACAGTAGTTACATGCATGTTCAACGAGTTCCCCCCCCCCCCCACCCCCTTCCACACACACACACACACCTTCCTACGCCACTGTAGTCAATGTGAACACTTACCGGAGGACGGGTCACGTGTTGACTCACGATCTGCCGACATTGGCTTCGTCGGATGGTCAGCTTTCCCACTGGCAGTTGCACCGCGTCGCTTCGCCATGGTACTGGCAATATGCTCCGCTACATGAGGCTGGCTGTGTTGAATCAAATTCAGGAATGTATCCACCTGTTCCTCCGTTTTCTTCAGCATCAACCTCACCACATACTTTGCCAGCTCCAACTTTTCATTTTCCTTTCCAGAGGCAGTATCATATTCCTCTTCGCTGAGAACATCCTTCTCCAGCAGGTCCTCCAAGATCAGTGACGCATCTAGATTGGATACCAAGTACTTGATGTTGTACCGCACACTGTCCGGCATTGCGCCGGCAGCAAAACCGTCACAACCAACCACTCCGTCACGGCCTCACTCTGTCCACGCCGCCTGGCGTGAATCGTTCTGTCCACAGTGAACAATGGAGAACACCGCACACAACTACACGACCCACACAAATCACCAGCACTGCAACAACCGTCCGACAGAGAAAATGCGCCAAGAAAAATTACGATGATCGGGTAGACCTACCGCGTAGACCTACCGCGAACCGGTAGATGTTGTAGAGTCTAGTCGTGAAAATCAGGACCCCCCGGTATAACCATGTCATGATCATGATGATAACTCAACCCTTTCAAGACTCGGAGTCGTTGCTACTACAAGTACTGGTATGACTGTACATGTCTGTACTGTATCAGTGTCACGCGCGCATGCGCTTCGTCCCTTGGACAGAGTAGATCTACGTCATGGAAGACGAGACATTTACAAAATTAATGATTTTTAAAAATCATTAATTTGGTGGTGGGTCGGCATGGCAATGGTACTTGGCACAAGTACGTGCAGTTGTCAGGGAGTCTAGTCGTCAATTACTTATTTGACGACTCCCTGGTACTGGTAGATCTACTGGTAGTTGTGATCGCTTTTCTCGCTTTTGCTTCAGTGTCGCCCATTTTCACCGAGCAACCGGTGAAGGAGGCTGATGCGGCCGTTGGTGGTGGCGAGTTTCGGAAGATCGTGGATGCAAGTACAGGTCATGACCCGACGAAGTCCGAAGTACATTGGCTGGCTGGGGGTGAGCCAAACCAAGCACCGATTGGCAACTTGGAAAACCCATTCAAACGAATCCAGACGTGTGTGGATGTTCAACATCAACTCCGAGGCTTTCTGCTATGGCCGCCTTGGTCAACTGGAGGTAGGTTTGCAATTGGCTGACCTACCGATGATGATGGCACCGGTGATGGCGGACATGGATGGCAGACTGATGGCTGGCAACAAAGTCATCACATCTGTGCCGTGCGCACTGGAACATACCCGGATAGTGTGAGTGTGACTCTGTGAGTGACTGGCCAGAACAGTGTTCGTTACGAGTAGAGGCTTACAACAATGAACTGGTAACGACGGTGTTAGTGAAGGGAACGGCCGATATCTCCAACCTAATCCGGCAGCCGTACAAAGACAGCATCATCATGGCCAGCTTGCCTGACGAGTTCATCATCGCTCCGTATCCTGAATCGTTCCAGCTATGAGTGATGATAATGATGATGGAAGCACGGACAGGTGGCCAATGCCAAGCTAGAAGACATGATTGTTGTCACCACTGAATGGCCTGGTCCAGAACAGAGAAGGGGCAGCGTGTACGGTTGATTCATGCAGTGAGTGGTGTGACTGTCTAAATAAACACGGAACTTTTACATCTACACATCTACATGTAGTTTAGTCAGGTTATCTTCACAAACACGGAAGGAGAATGTGGGAAAGGGTTGAATTTCCGGAGAAAGTTTGGAGGGTGGCCGCGGCATGTGACTGATGCAGTGATGGTGATTGTGGACTACAAAATGGCCTGTGTTGGTTGCAAAAGCCGTTCGTGCCTAACAGTCCACGCATAATGTCCGCTACATTGTGAGAAAAATGCTATCCCTGCAAGAATTTGGTGGGGGTTGCATTTCACATTCGAATTTTTCAGTATTTCGGGGTTGCCGCTCACGGAAATAAAATCTGAAGTAGGAAAGCCGCTCTCTCTCTCTCTCTCTCTCTCTCTCTCTCTCTCTCTCTCTCTCTCTCTCTCTCTCTCTCTCTCACACACACACACACACACACACACACACACACACACACACACACACACACACACACACACACACACATTCTCACCCTCTCTCCCTCTATCTCTCTCTCTCTCTCTCTCTCTCTCTCTCTCTCTCTCCCTTTTTGCTTTGCGTTCGTCTAGGGCACTTCACATTCCCTTGTGGTATAAACACAACCACAAGTTTCACCATGAGTGGACCGCGCCGATCAGCATCTCTAGTCTGTACTGTCACCCGGTCGAGCATTTCCTCTCCAACATATTGCCGGTATTGGCTGGTCCCGTCCTGCTCGGCTCTCACTGTATGCTGCTGCTTTTGTGGGCCTGCATCTCGCTGGCCTCCGTGTCCGTCGCACACTGTGGGGCGGCTTCCACCTGCCGTTCATGCCGTCCAACGAGTACCACGACTACCATCATGCAAAGTTAGTAGTGTAGTGTGTGCATTCTGCATTGATTGGTAGCTGTACTAATACCTTGCACATACATGGGAGGCGGTGAACGCAATAATCTGACTTGAGCTGTACTGTGCATGGACAGCATGCACTGCCACTGCTACCGGTAGCTGTACTGTGCATGGGTAGCATGCACTGCCACTGCTACCAGTAGCTGTACTGTGCCAGGCCTGCTCGTCGAGGATTCGATAGTTTTAGGGGGCGTTCGAATTGTCTCCATCAACTGTTCGAACACATTTTTTAAAGAGATTAGCTGAGTGTCCCATTACGGCATTAGAACGGTTTCTATCATTTTAGAGTTTTTCAGTGGAATTGTCATGGCGATGATGACGTCCGGTCAGATCGACCATCTCCACGTACTACGTGACGTAGCTATTCCAAACTCTTCGGAACCAATCCACCTCTCCCATTGGATGAGGTTGTGGAGTTTCGAGGAGCTTCGTTTTTCTGAAGGGGCCAATAAGGCCACCTCTTCAGAAAAACGAAACTCCTCGAAAAGTCCAAGAGTGACAATTTGAAGGCGCCCTTAAAATGCTCCGTTCGCCTCTGCTGTGTGTGTGACTGATTGTACACGATTGTATGTCCCACCCACTCCGACATCTCCCTTGGAGTTAGTTAGTTGTGGAGCTGAAAGGCCATCATTGGTCTCTTGCACAACTTTGACGGCTTGCAGGTTTCGTTCGGGGACAGCGTTGAGCCGATGAGGTTACAACCATGAAAGCAATCATTCTAAAAGCCTGAGGCTGAGGCCTGAGGGGCCGAGGATGAACAACACTTTAAAAAAAGTCCTTCTTTCGGTATGGAGTCGGTCCGATGTCTACTCTAGTACTCGTACACTCGAAAATCTCATTTCCGCTCAGCAGGTGTGCACGTGTGTGAACGGACAGGCCGACACGTAGATCTACGTCCGGCATAGTCGGCGACGTGCTGACAAACTAAAAAAACTCCTTTCCTCTGTTGCAATGCATCGTCGACGGTCTGACAGAAATTCACGATCGGACTGGCTGCAAAGTAGCACACTCGAAGTAGAAACAGCGGCTGGGTTTTTAGGCAGCGAGACCGCTTTGGAGCGTCGAGATTTTGATTGCTGTCTCTGTGGTACATGGTTGGCTTTCCGCAATCATTGGGCTTTGGCCGTTTCGGCTTCTTGCTCGGTGTGTCGGCGGGAGAGTGATTTGGAGAACAGCGCGGCATGAGCATCAGTTCGGTTAGGGAGATCATGTCAGTCTTGACAGCGGCACGGTGGTCGTCTTCGGGACCTCCAGTCTCCTTATCACTGGGCTGCCATTCAGAATTCTCTGCATCGGTAAGCACCTGTTGCTAGCTGAGTTAGTCCGTAATGATCAGGTACCGGTATTCTGGTTTTTTTAAAATTATTTCAACTCATTTCTCTCCCGCATAATAATGCTATGGGCGATCGATCGCGAGCGTCATCTTCAAGTTTTGGTGATGGCAATAGTGGGGCTAGCCTAGTTTTGGTGGCCTGTGTCGTGATAGCACTCATTTCCCGCGTCGCGTCGATATGTCGTGAGAGAAAAGTAGAATCTACCGCTACTAACCCTGCTAACCGTTCACGGTAGAAAAGAACCGGCATGATCTACCGTACTGACTTGAAAGGTGTCTACCGCCACGTACTTGGAGATCGAAAACGAGCGCCCCTTACTTTCGGGGGAGGGGGTGCAGCGTGACTGCACCCTAGGCCCTTACTAGCAGACTGCTCAGGAGACATTCAGGGATCTGACACCTAGCTCTAACACGTACTCTCCGATGCGATAATTAAAGGGGAAGTTAAGGCTGTCATCACACCATGGTACAAAGCGCTGCGTCTACGTCCACGTAAGGAGTTTTTGGTCGGTTGTCATGATGATCCGTATACGGGGTGAAAACGGGAGCAGAGGAAACGGGAGACGTGGACGTGGTATGGAGAGGGGGGGGGGGGGGTATACGACTTTTTGTATGAACGTGCGTATCTCCCCCAGCCTTTTTCCGAGCGACCCTGTACTTCGATGTACGTGGGTTCAAATTTCTCCACAAAACCTGACTGCGTGTACGCGTCAAGAACTGTGCCTATCTGATGACACGACCACCCGTTTTGGTTTTTTCACCATAGACGTAGACGTAAACGGGAGTCGGAGAACGTGGTGTGATGACGGCCTAAGGCAAAAATTAAAATTTCACCAGTTGTAGTCTTCGGGGTGCTGAGTCGAATGGTCGTGGTCCGAGGAAGCTGAGACGCTCCCTTCCTACTTGAATCCCAATCGAACTCGCGCACTTCCACCGAAACTGGGTGACTGCGCCCTACTAGATGGGGATTTGTATGCAAAATGTCACTAAAAGCGCCATTTCCTTCTTATAAAAGCACGGATGACCGCCATTGGCCCATATGTTGTAGTCTTTTGGACGCTGAGTCGACTGGTTTTGGTCCGAAAAGGCTGCGATGCAGCGTTCCTCCTTTATTCCCAATCGAACATGGTTGAACAAGCGGTCACGTGGTCCTGGGTGCCCAAATCACCTGGTCACCACGCCAGCAGGTGACAACTTTCACACCAAGGTTCAACTCGGGTTCAACTCGAGTGACAGGACTGCACCCAAAAAAGGTCAAACAGGCTAGTAAGTTGTACCCTGCAGGCACGGTGACCAGGTGACTGGTGTACGCAGGAGCACGTGACCCGCTTCTTCAACCATGTTCGATTGGGAATAAAGGAGGAACGCCGCATCGCAGCCTTTTCAGACCAAAACCAGTCGACTCAGCGTCCAAAAGACTACAACATATGGGCCAATGGCGGTCATCCGTGCTTTTATAAGAAGGAAATGGCGCTTTTAGTGACATTTTGCATACAAATCCCAATCTAGTAGGGCGCAGTCACCCAGTTTCGGTGGAAGTGCGCGAGTTCGATTGGGATTCAAGTAGGAAGGGAGCGTCTCAGCTTCCTCGGACCACGACCATTCGACTCAGCACCCCGAAGACTACAACTGGTGAAATTTTAATTTTTGCCTTAACTTCCCCTTTAAAGGTTCGCGGTTGTAGTAGGACACAAGACGTCACGAGAAACCATCATGGTGCAAATGCCAGCTCGGCTGGAAATCACAGGGAGGCACACAGCGATGGCAGGCGAAGCAGTGGAGGCGGGGCAGAAGCAGCTAAACCGACCAAGGGTCTCCGTATCAACATTGCTAATGCGGGTCAGGCGGAGAAGAAAACACTGAAGTCTATAGTGTTTTTATATGAAAGCAAAAAAAGCAGGAGAACGAGCTAGCACTTTAGAAGTCTGCTTTATTAGTCTCTGTGTAGGCTCCCCCTACGAACTCCTACTAGTCCTTTCTGTCTGCCTTTGTTTGTGTACCCCCCCCCCCCCAGCCCCCTGTCTGTTACCCTCCACTAGTTCTGGTCTCACAGTCGAATCCCGGTATCATGAAACATGGAAATCGAAACACTGATGTTTGCAGCTCACCCAGGGGCTCTGTGTTCATGACACTTTGATGGAGTCCGTTGTCTTATCATGCACCGCGTACCACGTGTGTTGTGTCTGTTTTCCGCAGGCCTCTGACAGAACTCTGGGATGCATCGAGTCAGTTCTGGCAGCACAGATGGAACCAGCTCTATCACGATGTGGCGGGAGGCAACGAGTTCCTTCTATCTAGCCGTGAGTGGGTTTTAAAGAACACGACGGGCCAGGGTGCTCGCCAAAGCGACATAGCGGGGCGCTGCGCCCTCCTTCACTTTTGGACCGCCCCCTTTCAAAATGAATGCACCACCCTTCACTTCAGAGAGCGAGCGCCCCACCTTCTTATATGCATGATGAGGACACATCACATACATATATAGTCAAACCTCTTTAGAACGAACACCAAGGGACCGACGGGATTTGTTCGCAATAACGGGAGTTATTCTTATCCATATCTTATCAGTGTCTGCTCTAGGATTGTAGGACAGCCGGTACACGTGTAACTGGCGCAACCATTTCAACCGGGTCGGAACCGGGTACACATGCCCAATGATATAAAGGCGAATGGATAAGCCGCATTTAGAAAAGAGAGGACAGGAATTAGAAAATTACGAAAGAAGAAGAAGTATCTGACACATACAAGCCATGTAGTCAGTCCTTTCAAAGTTCGAAAGTGTAAAGTACCAACCGGGTCACAGGTGACCCGGTACTATATTTTCAACCGGGTCCAAGCGCCGCCCAACCGGATGGATTACCCGGCTCACCCGGCGCTGGAGCAGACACTGTCTTATACCCAGTGAATACACCGTAATTTATCCAATAGAGTTACAAATACTAGTTCTTCTTTTAAAGCGAAAGTTTTATCAGTGTTCTTCTTAACGAGGTTTCACTGTACATGTAGTAGCACAGGATTGTATGAGTCATTGTATGAGTCATTGCATGAGTAATTGCATGAGTCATTGTATGAGTCATTGTATGAGTCATTGTATGAGTCATTGTATGAGTCATTGTATGAGTCATTGTATGAGTCATTGTATGAGTCATTGTATCATAGTCATCACTTACCTCTGACAACCATAATGATTATCAATGGCGGGTTCCAGTGGCCGGTGAATAAATACATGGAATGGTCGGTTGCTTACTGGTGTTGGTGAAAGCAGCGGCCAAAATGACGACACAAAATGGCGGTGAAACCACAAAATGTTGGGTCCTATAATGATCCCCCCCCCCCCCATCACTTTTGTTCTGGCTATAACGTTGCGGGCATATTCCCATTCTGACCCAATGATACATGTATCAAAAATAAATAAACGTGATAACATAATAACATTTTGTCCTTCTCCCTTTTCACCATAAATAAACATGACAGTGCAATAACACGCTTTTTGAAGGCCCTAAGAGAAAAATGACCTTTGGCAGGTCTGGAGTAGTGTACTTTATACTGAACTGTACTGCAGCCAGTTATACTCTCCTAACCATGGTGTAGAGGAGGACTTTACTTTGAAATGTATTTCCCTGTATGGTGGCTAGTTTTATGACGGCGGTTCTAGTCGATTCAGCATGACAGCTTTTTCTCGGTCGTTTTTCTGACTGATGCAGCCGGCACTGAGATATCTCTTCCAGCATGGTTCAGCTGAGCTCAGTCCTACTGGCAAAAGCTGGAACAGCGTTACAACATCAAATAGTCAGTGCAGGCAAAGAAAAGAAGATATACCTGCTCAATACCTGCTCAATACCTGCTCAAGTACTTAGTAATTAGACTCGGACATTTTCTCGTGACTATCACAAGTGTAAGGATCACCGGATCACACACGCGAACAGCCACGGTCACAAAAGGACGAAGGTCAATAACTCTTAGTCTCAAGTCGAGATTCGTTGGAAAGAGAGAGAGTAAGTGTCCAAGTCAGAGCTTATCAAGGGCCTGGGTAGCTATGGGCATGAATGTACTAGAGCGCGAATCCAGCTACCCAGGCCAACGGAAGAAAAGGTTAGAAAAGGGAACAAAGGTGAGTACGAGAGTGTAAAGGTGAGTACGAGTCTGTAAAGGTGAGTACGAGTCTGTGAGTGCATACGAGTGTGCGAGAGCATACGAGTGTGCGAGTGCGTGCATATGTGAGATCGTGAACCTAACACAAGTGGAACATCGTCACATGGTAAGGATCACGAAAACAACCAGTTATGTAGCTAGAATAATACTGATCACGAGTAGCGTGGGAATGTAGCAGCTCGCGGCTACACACAGCGTAATTTACACATAAGCAGTATGGGCTTATGCAGTGAATGTGAAAATGGTTGTGTAACCGGTGTGGCATCTGGCATTGGATCTGTTTTAAAAACCATTGTTCAAGTAATGGTGACTGTGTTTGGTGCTATCGGGTGTGTGTTGCAGTTCTATGGAGTTCCATGGTCGCCTTCTACTGGTTGTTCAATGCATTCTTCATCTTCGTGGAGCTGACTGGAACCCCTTCGAGCATCTTGCAATATCGTATCCAGCCTAAAAAGAAGCCAGCTGTGGTCAGTTATGCTATTCTATGCGCCAGACGTTCTTTTCGGTGTGCCGCTCGGTTGTGACAGTGTGTGTGTGTGTGTGTGTGTGCGCGCGTGTGCGTGTGTGTATGAGCGCGCGCATGTGCGTACGTGTGTGCGTGTGTGTGTGCGTGTGTGTATGAGCGCGCACATGTGTGTATGTGCATGTGTGTATGAGCACGCACATGTGTGTATGTGCATGTGTGTGCGTGTGCGTGTGTGCATGTGCGTGTATGTATGTGCGTGTGTGCATGTGCGTGTGTGCATGTGCATGTGTGCATGTGCGTGTGTGCATGTGCATGCGTGCATGTTGGTACTGTAGGACATTCTTACGTGCATGTCACGGGTACTTGCTGTTGGTGTTCGCGCATGCTGCTTTTGTGCGGAAAGCCCGCCTTCGCCGCTTGATTTCGTAATGTGTAATACCAAGAGTACATAACCCCCAAGAGTGTGCAACTGCCTGCACAACCTCTATGCAGTGCTGCGACGGCAGAACTTCACATCACGTGACATGGTTCAAAAAGGTTACACTGGAAAACAGTGCAAAGTGACCACAAGAGAGTTGTACCCAAAGCTGGGTTGCGTATAGGGCTGAAACGATCGTGGATTTTCACGTATCGATTACTCTTTAGCTTAACGATATTATTGATATTTCTGACTGTTTTGAACTGGCTCTAGACAAGAAAGAATGGCTGATGCTTGTGGAAAAATGTGCTGCGCTTGCGTAGTTGTTCTTACTGCGATACGTTCTAACAATAATGAGATGCCTTTTGTCGGCTCTTCTGCCTGGATTTCGTTGACAGATGCGTTTTAAGCCCATGGATCCTTCCATGAGTGACATGCGAACTGTAACTATTATTATTATTATTATTAACGATCGAGTAATCGGTTATAATCGTTAGCAAATAGAGTCATAATTCTGTGCAAACATTACTCTGTTTCCACAAACTATGCCTTCATAATACCAACAAGTCTGCATTAGTGAAAGGGTAGCTCCGAAACATGGCAGTTTTGAAGTCAATTTAACCTCAGAACATGAACCATACCCCTGGCAACTGCATACTCCCAACGGAAACTGATTCAAACTTCACAAAACGAGGGTTTACAGTACTTTCTGGACACAAATAAAATAAAAAACGCAAAATAATCGTAATCGGTAATCTAAACGATTGCTCGATCGTTAGAGTTATAACGAGTCGATTATTCGGTATAATCGTTTCAGCCCTAGTTGCGTACAACCCTGTATCAATCATGCACAGAGTGCAAATAATGTGACGGGTTCATCATGTTATGTGAAGTTCTGCCGTCGCAGACCCCATAGCTGGAGTTGCACACTCTTGGGGGTTATGTACTCTTGGTAATACATGTAATGGTGACAGTCAATTTTTCTTCAGACTTTTCCCGTTTGTCTCTTTCCCTCAAAACCAGTAAATTAAACTGTTAATGGCAAATATGTTAGTTATTTTTGGATTCATGCACAGTGCTAGTGCTGACTAGGGACATTTGATCACTTGCTAACGAACTGAGCAGCAGCGAAGGCGCTACGAACGGCTGAGAAGCGAGGGTGCTACGAACGGCTGTTAAGGCCCGCTTGAGCCTGGCAGAGAAAGAGCGCCGGCAGTGGTCGCACTTTGCTGGCCCGAACTGTACGTGGCATTTGAAACCAGTAGTCCAAGGTCGGACCCTGTTAGCTCAACTTCTATCAATCCTCGGTCTTTGTGTGTGTGATTCCATACAGGTGGAGTGGCAGACGTTCAAGAAGTGTTTGAAGGTTGTCCTCATAAACCAGTTGGCTGTGGGTTATAGCAGCCAACTTGCACTCTACTGGATCTTCCAAAAGCGCGGCGGATTATTTGCCGAGACCCTGCCGTCCTTCCAGTGGTGCTTGGTGGAGCTGGCAATCTCTATGTTTATCTTTGAGGTGATTTTCTTCTATTCGCACCGGTAAGGAATGATCAGCAGTGAGGTGAAGTTGCCTTGCGTGTTCACAGGAAAATAAGGTGGGGTTCATGTCATGACTTTGTCGAGCCCGCATGATCGAACAATGCTTGCACCGGTGAGATAACATGTCTGTTTATGTGTGTATTTTAGTCTTGACCGTCTTCTATATCTCAGCGGTGTGCCATTACTGTGGGCATGAGTAGTCCTAACACCAGCCGGGATGGCAACACTGCTACGGGGTGGCTGGTCAGGCCATGCCCGGACTAACTGCTTGGCCACCAGTGCATGTTCACACGTACTACCGAGGAGGTTATGTGCCCCTGCCATGTCATACACAAACTGTATGAAAGACTAGGGGCATGATCGATTGGGCGAATTCCGAGCAAGTGTGCTCCGAGTGAGCGTGGTCGTTTGGTCGAATCCGATCGAATCCGGAGTAGGTGTACTTGGAGTGGAATCCGACCACACCGGCCCCCACACCGGGAGTGGCCGGAGTGGAAATGGACTTTGCCGTTTTTGGACAGCTTTCACAGAATCTTTGTACGATATGCGTACATTTTGCGTACTACACCCTTGTTTTGTTCGATTGGGCCAGCGTTGCTCGGACTGTCGTGAACGATGTCGTTACCATGACGACGCCGAAGCAATATACATGTAATTAGAAGTAAATGCAGCTGTTACAATGTAAGTTCATTTCAGTCAGCACATACGCTCACATCATATGTTAAGCTTTCCGCCATGGTTACCATTGTTGTTGCTATAGTAACGATGTTTTGTAACTACCACCCCTTACTCTAGCTATGCCATATATGGTTTCCTTCTACACCATATTTGGCCTCTTCTTCCATATGTGAAATGGAACTTTGTTATGGTATACGTAAGAACTTCTCAGTCCTCTCTTGTGTCGCGACACGGACCACACCGCCTGCTCGCACTCAATCCAGATTCGCCAAACGATGACACCCCAAGGTATGGCCGGACCAATCACACCGTGACTGTTTCCGCCTGTCCTGTATTGTGGAATTGCGTATTGAACGCCATTTGTTGAGGTGTTGACAGTCTGTAGTTCCCGTATTGCTATGAGTACATGGGCTGCAGTTCAGCCAGCATACAAGTACTCGGATATTTATTTATTTTTATTTATCGTCTCCACTTCATGGCACATAATAATACATAGCCAATACAAGAAAGGGAGGGTGAATCCAACCACGGAAAATAGCATTAAAAAAAAGAAGAAAAGGAAGGGAGGTGTCACCATGTGTCAACAGCAGGTAGCACAATACTATTTTGACTGAAATGCATCCTTTTAAAAGCTGAGAGATACGGTGAACAGCGAATATTATAAGAGAGTTTGAGCCAAAATGTGCAAGCCATAGAGACAGGTGATTTGATCATTAGGGACAATTGAGGGGAAGGTAATGTGGTGAACACTTTCACCTCTGCGCCCTGGGTTCACTCTTGCATCTAAAGGGCTACATGCTTCTACACGAACTCACACTCATCACAGCGACCTTGCCATAAATAGTAAAATACTTTCAAGCTTCTATCTTTGCCTCTCTCTCCAAAACTGTAAAAGTCAAAAAGCCCCGAAAAAGGATGGCACATGCGCCTCACAAGCGGAGCTGGGGAAAGCAAATGACGTCGCGTAGAGCCGACGTGAAAAAGGGAAGTAGTAAAATTATAACTAAGTAATCGAGATTCAAATCACGAAGCTCGCGTACGCGACACTCCGCACAGCAAAGAGAATTAGCAGCCGGAAATATGACCTTACTTTTAAAACCTATACAAAACAAAATGCTCAGTAAATTGTAGAAAGAGAAATTGTGCAGGCAAAAGTATAGCACGGGGAACTGGTGGTCCAATGTAACGTTAAATTCTAAACGCAATACGCAGAGCAATACGCATAGCTACATGAACTAGTGTAATCATGCACCTAACGTTAGCAAAATTATTCACTACAATATAGTCAAGACCCTTACTCTTGAGTCGTCCAAAGCAATTACAACTAACTGGAACAGTTCAAGGCAATGAACACCAAGACTATTGATTAGCTCAGTCTAACTTGTATTCTCAGCTACTGCTACCTGTAGTGGATATTGGCTCGGACATCACTCAATGAAACTACACTGTTATAGTCCATAGCCTAAAATAATTTTAATTTCTAAAACCTACAGGGCATCGTGGCTAATGAGCTGTCGAATGCCATCTTGGCAACGCTGAGCTGCTCTGCGTGCCGGCCGACGATCTGCTGCTGGTGGCATCGAACCTGACGCTCCGTCATCTCCAGTAGCGACTTCAATGTCGGGATCAGTCGTGGCCTGCTCATCAGAGTCTGCTTCTGTTGCACCCTCACTTGGGCACTCGAGGGGATACAGCATACTCAGGGACCGTCGTAGCGTCTGTCGTGTTGTCCGGATCGTCGCTGATCTTGCCGTCACTACTGGCATGGAGTTTCTCAATCACTCCGAATCGCCAGGAGCCTCTCGGCAGATTCTCGTGTATCAAAACGACGCTGCCAACCACTGCAGTCTCATGACTCTGGAGCCTGCCCTGCCGAATGATTCTTTCATAGCGCTCCCTGAGACTAAGGATGTACTCCGCATGGAACGACTTCCAGAAAGTATCTAAGATTGACTGACCCAGTTTCCATGACTGCAGCAGTCGCTCGGCTGGGTTGGTGTCCACATTGTAGTCAGGATCGTTGTCAGTGTCCGTGCTCTGTGGTAACCCAATCACACTGGACTGACACAGAAAGTGGCTGGGTGTTATCACTGAACAATCTGACAATTCTTCACCAACATACACAAGAGGCCGGGTATTGATCACTGCCTCAGCTTCCGTTAAGAGTGTAGTTAGCTGTTCCACTGTAAGTCGCTTGGTTCCCATTGATTTGCGTAAGGCTCGTTTCACAACACCAACTAACCTTTCGTAAAACCCGCCCATCCATGGCGCCAATTCTACGATGAAGGACCATTTGCACCCCAGTTGTGCACAGTAATTCATGACATCATCATTCAAAACCATATTCTTCCAAGCTAAGTCGATAGCA